TTAGGCCAGGCTATGGCAAATTCACAAATGTGGATTTTGTCACTTCGAGGGGTTGGGTTATTTTGGGACACCTTGTTACGCTTATGTACATTGGTATAAAAAAACACGGTAAACACATGTACATGTATATATCTCTAAATGTAAACGTTCAATCAATAAAAGTGTAAAAGGGACCAGATTTCGTAATATTCCAAATACATTTGACACCGGAAAAAAGGTGTTTAAAAACATTTGGTGTTTTATGAATCGTTTAAAACTACCCATGTGACGGGCTCTCGACCAATGGAAATGGGTAAACTGTCTCAGGTATTTATGAATGAGCATTTAAAATGATGGAGGCTACCAGAGGTGATATTCAAACTATTTTAAAAGCGTACATTTTAATAACGTGTAAACTTACTTCAAGAAATTTCGTGAACTGGTACCGTGCATATAGAATTGTATTTTAAATGAAAGATAAAGTCAACTGATGGCGCTATAGTTACAATACACGGGTATTAACTTCACGAATAGAATATATAGTGTCGCCAAAGGTTAACCTGTGCAATATATCCAGCTGTCGGGCTTGCTATCTCCGACTATCAGTGAGCACCTTCCCCTGACATTTTGTTTTGGATTGTTTCCCGTTTCCTTTTTTTACTTGAGGGCAATTCCAATAACAGACACTGTTATTAGTTACAGCAAACACATGTCACAATTGTATTGCTATAATGCTACCTTCAATTTCCACACTTTTTTTTTGGGGGGGGCATGAATACCTCTCGTTCATGAATTATGAATATTAATGAGGTCGGTAACGGAAGGACGATAAAACAGACAAGGGTTTTCCAACTTACACGTGTTTTGCGTAAACTCTGTGAATTTTATGGGGCAATTATATTTTAAAGGTAGGAAATGGAATCCCTGAAGCTTTATCTATACTATACCACCTTTCATTTGAATTTAAAAGTTTCGGTAATATAATTACAACGTCTTATAATAAGTGGATTATAATTTGGTAACGGAAGGACGGTAACGGAAGTACAAAAGGTTTACTCAATTATAGCAGGAACAAAATGTGAATTTACACTAATTATACAAGTGAAACAAATTGCTGAAATGTGTAACTAAATGTGAAATCAACAATATGCAGACCTGGCATAAATAATTATACCCAAGAAACCAGTGTTGTAGTCGAGACCGGATAGTCCGAGACCGAGACCAAGACCGAGACCTGAAGTTGCGAGACCGAGACCGAGACCAGCCCCTTCAAGGCGGACCGGGACCGAGACCGAGACCGAAATGGTCCGAGACCGAGACCGCGGATAATAAATAACAATAATCTAAATAAGCAACAAGACACTAATTACAGCTGAACAGTCTGTCCTTCAGATGTTGATGTTCATGGGGATGTGAAGGAAGTGATTGAAAGTTAGGAATCACCTGTACCTGCTTAATTGTGTCATGCGAGTGTTCTTCGTGTTTGCTTCATGCCATAAATTACAACATGGCAACAGAATTTGTTATTGTGTCACAATCAATTAAAAAAATTGGAAACAACCTAATTTAAAGAAGGGGGAAAAAAACTTATTTGATGAACTCTATATATTTGTGCCACTTTTAAAAAAAATTTTTTTTTTAATATTGTTTAACTACTATAATGTGTAAATCTGATGAAGAAACTCTAACTTAGGAGTACGACAATTTGTACTAGTTTTTGCAAAACTTGAACATGTTGAAACTTGACAAAAGTAAAAAGTTAAAGGTAGATGTTTCATCTGTTATAGGAACTTGGACCCTAAACTCCACAGCCACCCCTTGGTTTCAGCAATGACCACTAACGGATATTTAAATGCAACTTTAATTTTACATTGGACCTCCTTGTAAACCTGATTGGAAAGAATTTGGAGCAAGAAAATATTGATTTATTTTTTAAAATTTCAGTCATGGAATATAGATTTGTACATGTAGACCAAAACATTGAGAGATGGTAGCCAGATATGGATTGGTCTGCCCCCCCCCTCCCTCTTTGTGATTCTCCTTCCAACCCTGCATGTTTGTGTGTCCCCTACATGTTTGTTTCTTGTTCCTCTGTCATTTACCTCTGAAGAAGGCCTGGCTAAGGCTGAAATGTAATGCCATTTATTTTTGTTTAAGGTCAATACCATTACATATACTATAGAAGATCGATGAACCATATTTGCCTGATCTATCTTCTGTTAATCTGCCCGCCGTCATCATCGTCATTAGCCTATTTGAGAATATGGCCGACACAATAGAAGGGCGCTGTCACAAACTGAATGTGGTGGGTGAGATGTACTTTTAGGATTCATGGCTCAGTGCGCACGCCTCACTGTGTTTTGTACCGTGCCATCGTATCGCCCGCATCGGCTACCTTGCTGGGCAATTTACTTGAATGTTTTAGTGATTAACAAGTACGACATATTGCCAATATATTAATAGTTTATTGTGATGGACGGTAAACAGCATACAGCCATTAATGGAACACAATTCTTCTCGACTCATGCAAATGCAATTGACATTTAGGAAGGAGACGAGGCAGGCAATTAGACTCTATTTTTGTGTGACCATGGCAGTAGCCCAATTTGTGTTTATCAGAGATGAAAAGATGAATACATGGCGAGTCCAAAAGAAAGTGACCGCATGATAAAAAAAAATGGCACGCTCCATTTTGTAAAAAACATAATTGGGATAAAGAACATGTTATTGAGTAGTAACTGTGAACATTTCACGTAATTTGCATACTCTATTCCCAAGTCGTGTCTATTTTAATAAAGAGATCACAAAATTCAGCTGTCCACCACTAATACCAATTTAACGGTCTACGAATTGATGAATATCCATTAATAAATATAATGGAAAAAAAGCGTTTTCCCGCCTCCACGAATAAAGGAAAAAATTGAAACGGAGAATAGAAAAAAATCACCAGTATTTCTAGGGAAAAAGAGTTGAATTGTTCCCCATATTCAAAATACAAAATCTGACGGTACAAATAATGTTTCAGTCTTGATTCATAAGATTTAAATCTCAGTTGTATTTGGAATCAATGAGGATGACTATAAAGTGCTTGTTTCAACAGATCATCCCACAATAAAAACGAGAAATAAGAAGAGGAGCAATGGTTATTGGACTATGCCTCACTCACTAGAAAGTGAAGAGAGACATGTCCATTAGCATCACACTGCAGTCACATTTGCCCTAAACTGATTCTTTACTTAACCCTAAAAGGGCCGGGGGCGGAATCCGCCCCCCCCCCTCACTTTTTGGCTGGTCTGGACTCGAGACCAGCCAAAATATCGAGACCAAAGGGGACCGAGACCGAGACCAAGACCGAGACTACAGCTCCCAAGACCGAGACCGGCAAAAAGTGGTCTCGAGACCGAGACCGGTCTCGAGACCTACAACACTGCAATAAACTATTGAGATAAAGATAGGTGCCTGCTAATTAATGATAATAAATGAAAAACGAAAACAACCAAAAAAACATAATTCACGAACACAAGACTACTACAGAAATAGACTTCAAACCCATCACCTCAATCCTTAAAAGTTTAAATACACAGTATTTGAACACTTGAGTATATTGGTTACATGTTCACCAACAACTTTTAATAATAATACCGGTAGGTTCAGTGGTTTACCTAAAGGGTTGGGGGCGACCAGCCTACATGTACATTTAAGTTAGAAACATCTACATGTACCTGTAGAACTGATGGCTTCAGAATCATTATGCTTTAAAAAATGTTTTAGGTGTTGCTTTTAATTGAACTCCAAATTCAATGTTTGAAATCAAATTGTAATGATTTAGAGTAGTACCAATAGTTAACTTATAAACATCCAAACTGAAGTTGTTAACTTAGACATAATTTGTCAAAAATTGCAACTCACATGTCTTACACATGTAAATTGAATGAAAGTGCCCAATAGTACCGGTACTTTCTGCCATCTCATTTTGGACTTAATTTGTTTCTGGAATGGCTTCACAGAAATTGTATCTTTCTCTATTGTCCATGAATGGTGATGGCAGCAACTTTATGATTTGATTTTCTGCAACAACTCCATACATGTACAAGTACCGGAACATCGACATACATGTACATGTACATAGTACATGTTGTACATGCCTGTGCCATCTTTTGTAATGAACACCTTGCCCTGCTTATCCCGCTTTTGTGAAGGTGGGTCACATAAATGTCCTTTCAATGCTCATTATACATGCATGTATTTGCAGTGACTTTCATTTTTCAAACATGAGCACAAATGTCGTAACATTTGATAAAAATACCAGTTGTCCTTCCGTTACCGTCCTTCCGTTACCAATTTGGTAACGGAAGGACGTGATTTAATTAATAGTAATTAAAAAACGAGAAGTACAGAAGTGTCAGTTATAATGTCATATTGAAGGCCTACCTAAACTTGCTTTACACAATAACTTTCATTGCATTCATACTGCAAGTTTTAAAAATAAATTAAAAATATGTATATTTTCGGTAACGGAAGGACATTTTCGAAGGCTGAAATATTGAAATAAGTCACTGAAGCGAAACAATTACGCAAAACATAAAAAAAAATGTTTCAGTCGGTTTTTCATGACCAATACTTTCTCATTACAGAAATTGATGGCATTAGTACATATTTTTGTGTGTGTATTGGTAGAATACTTTCATATCACTATTACTCACATTTTTAGGATTAAAACAGGATTATTACGTAATCCTATTTTTTGGTACCGAAATGTATCAAAACTAAAAGTCCGACTTCAAATCTTGAAAATATAGACTTTTAGCTTTCATTTGACGCCAAATTTGTTTAAGTCACATGCATTTGAATTTGTTGATGTCATGTCCACTTTGGTGTGGAATCAGTGGCGTAGCCACGGGGGGGGGGGGCGTGAAACCATGTCGCCCCCCCCCCCCCCACTGAGATTTTGAGTTTCTAAAAAATTATCATTGATCTACATGACGCCCACCCATGAAATGTTCCAGCCCCCCCCCCCCCCAATGAAAAATTCCTGGCTACGCCACTGTGTGGAATTGCCCTTGACTCTTTATTTTCACCGTTTTTCCAATTTCAGAAACCAACTTTCCCAGCCACTTTGGAGATGAGTGCCATGGTTTTGGGTAACAACAGCACAATACACATTGCGAGCACGGAGAAGCTGAGCAGGAAAAACAACAACAGAAAGATAAAGGATGACACGTGATCGTGGTGGCTGATGGGAACGATATCGCCAAAGCCGATGGTTGTCAAGGTGATGAAGGTGAAGTAGAGGGCGTCCTGGTAATACCAACCCTCCAGCAAGGACATGATGGCGGCTGCTAACAGTATGAACACGACCAGGATTATCAGGACCAAAATCACGGGGGCTTCAGGATCAGTGTCAGTCTGCCTCTTGGGGGCGCCTCCACGGTAGCGCCACCTATCGACCAGGAGGGAGACACCTTTGGCTAGGAGTTTACCGATGTCAGCATAGACGATCAACGTCAGCGGGATGCCCACGAGCGAGAAGATTACCACAAGAAGTTTCCCAGTCGCAGTCTGTGGAATCGAGTCGCCGTAACCTAAATGAGGTAGGCATTGAGATAAGGATTAATTTCCGGTTAATTGCTTAACTTTGAACGAGAGAAAGCTTACTCTTGTCCAATTGAGGTGTTTCAAACAACAGCCACGGCTAGTCTTTTACTTGTAGTCCAGTCTTTAAATTCAAGAGTTAAGTTTAAGTCCCAGCTTTTAATCAGTTCCATGCAAAACAATATTGAAAACGTGTCGGTCTAGTTCACGGAGTTTCAAAACTTGAAACTCTCCGAGTCTCTGGTGCAAAATGATGAGGAAAACTGCAAATTAAGGCCTCGAGTTTTTGGCAAGTGAAAAAAGGAGACTTCATTTTTGAAGAGATTTGTTCTCTTAAAACACAAACCTGGCATGTTTTTTGGCACTATGGCTCACTTACGCTCCGATCAACCCAATCCGCAACCATGTGGGTGCACACATGTAAATAGACTTCAACCCATCCGCCGAGCGCTCATGAATTATACAAGTTATACCCTCAAAATATTCTATATTAGAGAGTTCTGAGAGCCATAAAATTGGGGAATCGAAGAGATATGGCAATGAACCTCTGGCCCAGCCTTGGGGCTTCCAATTCTGGGCATTTTGGATGCAATTGGGCTCGAAAGTGGCGCTTTTTTGCCATGTTGTGGATGGATCGTTTTTTTGGAAAAATTCTGCCAACCGGACACCACTTACCTGCCGCCAAACATCCAAATTTTCACCTCACCTTGTGATTTCAACCAAGTGGAATCCAGGAAAGAGTGGACATGCGAAAAAAAATTGGTAAAAATGTGTTTTTGGAGCACATTTTGCATGCACATGTAACCGGTGAAATATTTGAAGCATATTTCAACCATATATTTTGTGGCACCTTTACTTTTCCTATCTCTTTTGAAAGTTTTATTAATGTTTTGTAACCCATTAGTCGGTACGTGGAATTGCATGCTTTTTCACAAGTTTTGAATTGGTTTTATGTTCATGCATTTTCCAAGTATTGAAATTATCATTATCTTCATTGTTTTATGTACATCTTATATTGTGAGAAAATCTGTCCTTTAGCCCTGGGTGGGTCAACCACACATTCCAGGTTTCTGGGAAAGTAATTAACTCCAGGCAGGAGGCCTGACTACATGTACCTCATTATTATTCATTAGATGGACTCTGGCTTTTCTACACTAGTTACTCTGTTTTATCACCCCCTTAATAGCTCTGTTTATTCATAATCCCTATGTGGTCTGCCCAGGAATGTGAGGCACTGGCCAACATCCTGTGGTTTAGTTTTCTTCAGTTCAGTTTTGTATTAGCCACCAACGAGAGCACACCCATGTTATAAAAGTCGTTTAATTTAAAGAAGATGTTACAGCGCTGGCTGCGCTTTGCTGCCCTTTGCTGCCATGCGGCCACTGAGGAATAAAAACAGTAATATTTCCACATCTAAACTTGAAGATCCTGTGTTCCCCTGGTCACACACAAAAAGTCATGTAGTGCAGATCTGAGTTGAAAGCAGCCGGTCAAAACTGATTGAAGTGTCTGGAACAGCGGTACGTTTTGTACGCATGACATCGATAACCATGACGTCGCATGAGACGTCGCATGAGCCGGCCAAAGATAGTGCAATACGTCATTATGAATATTTATTTTCTCATGAATATTTAGTTTATTTCAATGGATACTTCAAATACGTCCAAAGATTGATCATTGCAACAGCGATCGTGCGCGGCCTAGCAGTTAAGAGACTCGTGTATCAAGCAAGCGTTCGAGGTTCGAATCTCGAAGAAGTGAGCGACTGATTGATAAATAGAAATTAAGGAGGGGAGGGGGTGAGAGTAGAGGAGGGAAAGTGGAGGGAATAACCATAAAAGAGGTAACTTTTGGCGCTAGAAAATTTATTGAAAAAAGTGGTGTCCGGTTGGCAGAATTTTTCCCTTAAATACCTGTGAGCTTTCATAGCACTTAAAAAAAAAAGAATTTGGAAGTATGGGCATTTAGCACTGGTGTCTATTTTAAGACAGGGGTGCATCCTTCAGAGACTAACAAAATGGCCGCGCGCCGTGCATGCGCTGTACCGCGACAGTGTTTTTTTTCAGTGGGCGGAACCTATGGGGAGCGGCAAAAGCGTTTTAAAGGTGTCAACAAGGGCTGTTGACTCGACATGGAGAAAAGTGTCTTGTATTATACAGGGTGAGTAAAAAAAACACCAAATGTCGGGACCATTGTTTTAGTGAAGTTCTAAATGAATCACTTTCAAAATCTAGGATGTGAAAGCCAAAATCATAAGCTTTCTTTTAGTACACGAATTATTCAAATCAGTAATGTACGAAAACAATTCACACACATCCCTATGTGATTTGTTTTCGTTTTGCTGAAAGAACGCACACCTTTTGTGGATTCGTGGACAGAACTTTAAAACGGTGCTTGTGTTTAAAAGTCCGTTAACTTTAAAAGTACATGAGTGATTTAAATGATTCTTGTACTAAAACAAAAATTATGAATTGAACTTTTATATCCCAGATTTTGAAAGTGCTACATTTAGAACTTCACTAAAGCAATGATCCCGACATTTGGGTTTCGTTTTTTTTATTCGTTTTTTTTTACTCACCCTGTATATAAGCTTACTCACCTATAGTGGCGATTGTTGTTGCACAGAACATAACACTCCGACCAAACGATAACTCATCTCGTACACTCTTCCGGTGGTGGTCTGGTCCGAAGTCGAAGTCCAACCCATAGGGCCCCTCGACCATGTAGTCCAAGGCCTTCCAGAGAAGGGACCAGTTACCCATGGTCTCCATCTCAGCTTGGGTCAGGTTCAGATGGTCCATCATCTTATCCATCCTTTCCTTGACAAGTTGGTACTCCATATATTCGACATCCGTGGCCACATCCTCGGCCCCGCCAGCCTTGCCCTCCAGGAGGAAAAAGAACGCTCCTCCGACGAGCAAGAAGGCGATGTAGGTGGTGACGAGGATCACATGGGGTGCAGCGGCGCGGAGGCCCAGGTAGAGCCGACCCGACTTACCGCTGCCCGCTCCCCTGGCGTAGTTGATCCTGGGCCCATACTCATCCGAGGGACCGGTGTATATATCTGCGTCATTCTCCAGGACTGAGTATGACAGGGCAGAATCTACAGCTTCGCCTGGACCGCGATCTGCCATTTCTTGTTAGAAATAAGCAGCCTTTCAAAATACACTTGCCAACGGTCCGTTTCAGTGTACAAAACTGTGCAACAATCCTTCGGCGACGTGTTTCAGCAGGCAAACCGTTATGTAATTTACTGTTCCGAGGAAACGTATTACATGTATACCCAGTGTGCGTATAAAGCGACCTTTATTGTGTGGACGGCCATTAAATTCAGTTCTAATTATTTGCATATAGGCCTACGTACCGCCGTTCTATTGTTAGTACGTCAACGTTGCGTACAGAGCGAAGTCACCAATTGCTATTGCGTGGCACGCGTGAAACGCATGAACAGTTTCTGCAATCTTATCAACAACGCTGGCTGATTGACATTTTGAAATGATTTTCATTATACGTAAAACTAATAAAAGATCCACAGTATAATTTATGTTTGTATTTTTATATTAATGCGGGAGCTTTATTTATGGCCGGTCCTCATTTCTTTGCCATACACGAATGGATAACGAACAATTAAAATGTAAGTTAAATCGACGATAAAAAATTTAGAATAAAAAAATACATTTAGACATATACCATGCTACAGAAGAATATAATGCCTCATGATAAAAAAGTAGGAACAACTGAAACTCTTGCAGGTGCCTAGAGTTGCGACTGCCAATAGGTCTACAATGATTTTCTCAAAGACACATCTATATCCACATTTAAATGTTATAGCCGTCGGAGTTATTTAATATTTCTCGGTGCAGTATTGCCGCTTTTTTTTTTACTTTCCCCTTCAACGCAAAGGTAAGCCCACTTGTCCGTAGTGGAACAAACATTTTTACATTATACAGTCGACTCTCGTTATAACAAACTCGTTCGGACCTAGCCAAATTGTTTGTTATATCAGAATTTTGTATTAAGAGAATCATCAGTCCCATTCATTGTGCATTTAAATGCACAGTTGGGACCAAGGCTTTATGTTTGTTATAACCAGAATTTTGTAGTAACAGAGTTTGTACTAACGAGAGTCGACTGTATTATTAACACGTTAGTTGCAATAAAGGAAAAAAAAAACATCTGCAATTGGTGGATACAAAAATTAGCGGTCGGTAATCAACACATGATGGTACCAACTTAATTATGCATGACGGCATCGTATCTCATTATGCTGTCCATCTACAAGAGCAAACGAACGCAATATGTAGATTGGTATACCTTTACCTATGTGTGTGTTTCATATTTAAGGAATAGCCTAAGAAAAGGTGCACTAAGGCGTGAAATTAATCCGCGCTTTTCGCTTACCTCTGAACTCTTGTTTTCAATAGAGGTCACCGGTGAGGTCGCAGACCATGCACGGGATGATATTTAGAGCAAAGATGCCTACACCAGTCGAATCACTATTTTGTATTCAAATCCTCTCTTAACAGAGAGTTTTGTAGTCCATGCTTTGGGGGTTTGTAGCAATGGGTTTTAGCTGTGATTGTGAACTGGTCTTTGAACTTGTATCCTTAAAAATTTTGGATGAAATTGGACCCAAGAGGTGCTCAATTTTCAATGGAATGGTCCTTTGTCAAATGGCGATGGGTTTCAGGACTACTTTTAGGGGTGATAATCTGTGAATGGGGAGAATCAGCTAAATAGGGTAACCCTAAAAAATGAACATAGAGTGTAAGAGAATAAATCAAGTTTTAATTTAATGAATATCTTGAACACCTGTTAGCGTTGTATTGTTCCCGATTTTTTTTTAAGTGGGGGTGTGGCAGGTAATTCTGTCCCCCCTGGTAAATGTGTCCCCCGGACAGATTTACCGGGTCGCGACCCGGTAAATCTGTCCCGGGGGACACATTTACCTAGGTAGATCTGTCCCCCTCCCTGGTAAATATGTCCCCCTGCCCAACGTTGAAAGTGTCCCCCTGGTAAATGTGTCCCCGTGCAAGCATAGTATCACCCATGCGATGATACGAGTCGTGTTCGTGAGAGCGCATCGCCGCAAGTACATGCTGCAAGATTGTGGCAGTGTTTATCGCATGTGTACATAATGCTATCCCGCTACACTAAGGAAATTCATCCAATAGGAAATCTCGTTACGCGCTACGATGGGAACGCAGACCAATCCAAGTAGGCGTTATATCAATGAGACGTCCACCGTAGAATAGGGCCACTGTAGTGCATGACCGGTCATGCACTACAGTAGCCCTATTCTACGGTGGCCCTTGCTGTATTTTCACCGTATTCAGTCCGAATCGATCGAAACATTGTGTTCACATTAATTTTTCACATCTAAGAAAGAGACCAAAAAGTTAATTGTTTTCATCTTCATGAAGGTCAGACTAAAAAGTAAAAAATGTATACCTTGTTTGTAGACTGAATTCATCAAAGCAATATAGAGAACTGGCCTTCTGCGTTGCAAAACTAGGGGGACAAAAAAACCTGGAGGGACAGAATTACCTGAAGGGGGACAGAATTAACGTGCCGGGGAGGACACTGTTACCTAGGTAATTCTGTCCCCCCGGACACTTTTAATGGGGGACAGAATTACCGTCCACAGGGGCAACGGATTTCCGGCTCCGACGCATTTTAACAAGGGCGCCCTCCCTGCACAAAACACGTCAGAAATCCAGGCATGGGTTAATGGGATCACCGTTCGCTCGTACCCTCGCCCTGCAAACAGGACGCTGGGATACGCTGATGAATTCACACTCTGATTGTATAGATTTTGCGTGACCTGTGACCTGCAAGTCATCACGGCCTAATCAGTGAGGAATTAAACGGCCGTTAAGACTGAGTCACTCATCACTCTTATATTCCCATTCGTAAATGCTTTTATTTTTCGTTGAAAAGCGTAACAGTGAAGGAAAATCTGTAAAACCTGTTTTGTAAAATTCAATTCTCGTCACTTGCTTAATTAGGCTCTGTTCTCCGAATTCACGATGGTTCAAATTGCTTATGCGGCGCTCAAAATGTGTCCTCATGGTCCCCAATGAAAAAGAAATCAAAAGTAATGCACAAAAAAAATTACCGGTGACGTCATAAAATGTAAGAGCGCCCTCCAGCGGCAGGTTGAAAAATGTTTAAAATGAATTTTCAGTTGATGTTTGTGGCGAAGTTTGCGGTAATCACTTCAAAATGAATGGGTATGATTACCTTTATGCAAACAAGACCTATGTGCGAAAAAATTGATGACGTTATCAGACCGGAAGATACAATGAAAAGATCTTTAAACTTTAAAAAAATTGCTCAAAAATCAACCGCAAGAGATATAATCCAGATTTATGCTTCAAATAGCACAGTTAACATAGATCAAGCGTTCTGGTAGGTAATGGTTTCTAGATTTAATCTTTGAAAATCAATATAAAATCAACTGTGACAGATCTGATTTTGCTTGTTACGGGAAATGATAGAATAATCCAGCTTTTTCATTTTTGATGTTACGTGCAAAATCACGTGGCCCTTCTTTCCGGTCCAAACCAGAAGTGCCTTGAAATTGGAAACAGATGTGAACTTGCTTTCAACGGTGTTAGTCTGTGGCTAGGTTGTACTAGGTTGTGACGTCATAAAATCTTACAGCACCCTCTAACGGCAGGTTGAAACATGGATAAAATGAATAATCAGTTGATGTGTGCGGCGAAGTGTGCGGTAATTGCTTCAAAATTAAATTATGATGACCTTTAAAGTAAACAGACCTTTATCCTGTGTGTCAAAAACAAATTGATGATGTCATCAGACCGGAAGTCAGAATGAAAATACCTGTTTTGTACCTCTATGTCAACAAGGACTACACCAATATTCAACTTTGCATCGTTTCCACTCACTTTCACCACTACTTAGTACTTTCATACTTATGCCGTCTCGAACCGTCCAAATGATTGGATTTTAACACAAAACAAACTATTTCGAATTAAATCAAAAAGAGGATAAGCCGTATGTTCTGTTTTCGACAGACATACACTTGTAGTTCAATTTCTTTTTATTGCTAGAGTAACTCATGTATTTTTGATAACCCCCCTTTCATATACATTGCATCTATTATTTTTATGGTATTATCATAACTTCCTGTGACTATTCATAAGAAAAGAGCAAAACCTAATAATGAATATACATGTACATCACCCCGACGCAAATTCCATCTTATGAATAGTTTATTGCGGTACCCGCTGCTACATCAGATTCGAACCAGCCAACCGATCGTGGGTTCGAGTCCCAGTGAACTACGGTAGACGGCCCACAACCGACCTGAAGCAATTTTATGATTAGGCCTATTTGTATTTTAATTACAATGTGATAATGTCCTGGTGAGTCATAATTTGCTGGGTTATAGCGTTTTCTGTGTTATCTTGTTGTTTTTTAAATAATTGTATCTTATCAATATTTTTTAAATTTCTAATATTGAATTGCATTGTTCAGCGCTTTTGAACTTTTTTTTTTAATAGGAATAGCGCTACAGAAATGAAATGTTTAATGTTGAAGTTGATTATCTAGGACTATTTAGCCCTGCTTACGAGAGCCTGAACGATTTCTAACCGAAACTAGATATTAATCAAATAAATGATAAAGCCCCCCAGGATTTTTTACCTGAAGTCCATTGTAATACAAGTCCATTGTAACATTGTAACTGTCCGGTGCTACAGCACCGTAAGCTTGGTCCGCCGCACACGAGAGCTACGTGCAGAGCAAAAAGTCATTGGAGGCCGTTTGAACAGCACCTAGCTCACCGTGGGCGGTGAGTTTTGGCTTTGTCTGCCTTGCGAGGCCGTGAGGCAAATATCTCGCCTGTTTGATTTATTTTGCCTTCTTTCGCGAAAAACTCACCGTGTGCGGTCAATTTGAGTTACGTGCTGAGCTAAATACATGTAGAACTAGCCAATGAAATCACGTACTAGTGCACACGTAATTTTAAGATATTTTTGTGCAAATCTCCTAAAGCCTGCTGGCGTTCGTCCCTATTTATTAAATCACGCGTCCGCGCACGGACAGGGTGAGTTTCTCGCCTCGCGCGCGAGGCGAAAGAAATCAAACAGGTTATTTGTATGGTGTTCTATAGACGCCAAATTTGCGTCGTGCCGTCGCCCGCCGCGTCGTGCCGTCGCCCGCCGCGTCGTGCCGTCGCCCGCCGCGTCGTGCCGTCGCCCGCCGCGTCGTGCCGTCGCCCGCCGCGTCGTGCCGTCGCCCGCCGCGTCGTGCCGTCGCCCGCCGCGTCGTGCCGTCGCCCGCC